GTTTAAGGGTTTCAGGGTTAAGGGTTAAGGGTTTAGGGTTTAGGGCCGTAAGCCCGATACCAAAGCACACCCGAAATTCCAAAGTGAAAAATCTTACTGTGAGACTGCATGGAGAGAGAGCCCTTGATAGGACTTTAACCCTTGGGGTTTAGGGTTTAGGCATCTCTAAACCATAAAACCCTAAACCCTGAACTCTAAACCCCTAGTACCTCACAGATCTGAACCTAAACCCAAACCCAAGATTTGACAACCTTATATATGAAGATCCTTGAGAACATAGGCTATGGTAGTTTAACCCAAACCCTAAACCCTAAACCCTAAACCCTAAACCCTAAACCCTAAACCCTAAACCCTAAACCTGCCTGTCCATCTCCTCGATGACATCCTTGGCTGCACGCCCCTCCAGGAGACGCGCGGCATCGGGTTGTTGGAGCAGTTTCTCCACCTCACAGCGTAAAAGGGTGTAGGGTTTAGGGTTTAGGGTTTAGGGTTTAGCCTAAACCCTAAACCCTAACTTAGGGTTTAGGTATCCTGTTTCCTAAACCCTAAACCCTTAGGGTTTAGGTTCCCTAAACCCCAAACCCTCAGGGTTTAGGTATCCTAAACCCTAACACCCCAGAGGAACTTAAGTTACCCTCAATCCTGTCACCTCACTCTCAACCCTGAAGCTGCACCACAATCACACGATCCTGAAACCAAGCTGAAAGCCTGAAGCCGCAAAAGCTTAAAACAGTGTAGGGTTTATAGGGCCGGGGTTTAGGGTTTAGGGTTTTTCGGGTTTCGGGTCTAGGGAACAGTTTTCATACAAGTCCGGTTTACATCCACTCGACAACCTCCGAACACCTTAATCAGCTTGGCTACCGTGAACCGAAAGAAGCCCTAAACTGCGCACCCTAAGAAAGCCTACCTGATCCATATATAAAATTTGGTTAAATCCCAGAGAAGGAACTACAATGGAGACTATATAGGTAAACCCTATCTAAGCCCCGGAAAATGCTGTAAAGCTCGATAAGGCCCAACAAGCCGCATGAGGCCCCATCGCACCCATCCCCAAACCCTAAACCTTAACTTGAAACAACCCTCTTGCAAGCCCATCTCGAAAACTCGCCTCGTTGACATCCAAAGTCCCCGAGCCGTCCAAGTCAATAGACGCAAAGGCGGCGCCGATCTCCTCTTATGTAGGGGCCTTAATAACTAGAGTAAGGTTTAGGGTCCTTTGTAGTATATGGTGATAATAAGGAACCCCCTAATGATGTAGGTAGTTATTGAGGCCCCTATATTCTTATATTAGATTTTGGGCTCTTACAACTGGGAGCGCTTGATAGGACAGGGGCGTTCAGGTTTCCGAGCTTCTGGGCTTTTGGGGATTTGTTTAAGGTTTAGGGTTTAGGGATCAGGGTTTAGGGTTTAGGGCGATCAGCTTCAGAAAAAGAGGAAACCCACGCACAGTCTCTACATCATTAGTCCGATCGATACCCGGGTTCTATCGGGACCCCTACCGACGATGCCCACATCTCTGAAACCTCTGTCTTCCTAATTTTATGGTGTTTGGGCGTTTAGGCCTTTTAGGGGTTTACGGTTTAAGGTTTAGGCCTTAGGGCTTAAGGTTTAGACCCCAAGCCCTAAACCCTAAACCCTTTCTGACATAGTCCAACCATGCAAGGTCTCGTTAAAGGGCCGTATGCTTTCGGAGGCTCGCAGACAGAGCCCTTAGTGACTAGCCTCGCCCCACGGCGGCACGGCGCGAGATGTGTGTCCGAGTTGTAAACATCCCACCTATAGTCTCCATTGTAGTTCCTTTTTGGGGATACCTTATAAAATTCTTAATGTATAATTGGTTAAACCAAAAAAAGGAACTACAATGGAGACTATAGGCAGGCTTTAAGTTTAGGATTTAGGGTTTGGGTTTAGGGCTTAGGGATTTAGGGGTTTCGGGTTTAGGGTTGAAGGTTTGAGGTCTAAATGATCCAAACTTTAAGCTTGCCCCGACCCGAAGCCGGCACGAACAGAGCCAACCTAATTACGTCAAGCCTCAGCCGAAATCCATTCACTGAGCCCTACCTAAACCCTAAACCCCAAGAAAACTGAACCTTAAACCCTAAGCCTTATAACTGAGCCCTAGAAACCTGAACCCCACCCCCAGACGAGGAGGCGTTGATTGCACTTCCGGCGAGCGCTTGGAACCCTTTCTCTGGCCACTGCTGCCAAAGAGTAAGGACCCTAAGCCCTGAACCCTAAACCCCAAAACCCTAAACATTACACCCAAAGCCCTAAACCCCAAACCCTAAACCCAAAGCCCTAAACCATAAACCCGAAGCCCTAAACCCATAACCCTAAACCCAAAACCCTAAACCCAAAGCCCTAAACCAAAAACCTACACCCAAAGCCCTAAACCCAAAACCCTAAACCCAAAGCCCTAAACCCAAAACCATAAACCCGAACCCTAAACCCAAAACCCTAAACCCAAAGCCCTAAACCCAAAACCCTAAACCCAAAGCCCTAAACCCAAAACCCTAAACCCAAAACACTAAACCCAAAGCCGTAAACCCAGAAACATAAACCCTCACACCTGAAAACTGTGCCGCGTAGACTTCGGGCCGAGGGCCTTGAATGGCAATGTTTGGGCGTGTGTCTTTTTGAGGGGAGGTTAATGAGGGTTTAGGAACTTGGGGTTTAGGGTTGAATGAGGGTTAAGGGACTTGGGGTTTAGGGTTGGATGAGGGTTTAGGGGCTTGGGGCTTAGGGTTGAATGAGGATTTAGAGGCCTGGGGTTTAGGGTTGAATGAGGGTTTAGGGGTTTGGGGTTTCAGGTTTAAGGCCTTTTCGGAGTTTCTTTGGGTATATGCGGACAGACAGCTTCGGAAGCGCCTTTGACAGCGCTCTGCTCTGGCATCCAGCAAATCTTGCTTGTCAAGCCGGATGCCATGCCCCACAAGCAGGCACAGTTTTGGCAACTGGGCTCACTAAGCCCTGTAAGCCCTAAACTTCAAAGACTAAGCCCTAAACACTAAAGCCCTGAACCCTAAACCCTAAACCCAAAGCCACTGAACCCTAAATCCAAAGCCCCTGAACCCCAAATCCAGCTCCTCCTCTCGCACGCCTCTCTGCGCCATCACGAGCTTAGCCATGAACTCCTGACCGGAAGGCCACTCCCAAAGGGTCCTACTCTTGATGATATACATAATTTAATAATATAATAATAATAATAATAATAATACTAATAATAATAAAAAATATGTATATATATATATATATAGAGAGAGAGAGAGGGTTTAGGGTTTAGGGTTATATAAATCCTGCATCACCTTAAGGACCCTCAACTATGCGAATTATGGTATATTCCATATTATGGGTAATGCAAGGTTTATACCATCAACCGCATGTATCTGCCTTAAGCTACCAAAAACCTACTTTTTGTAGGGTCCATAGGGTTCCGTAATGTGAGCAGACTGTAGTATGACTATGCATAACTATAAAATACACCCAAACCCTATTCTAACTGGTCCAAGCTCTTTTTTCCCAAATGGTCCTACGGGGGATACTTCCCAAGATCTTAAAAGTTTTCAATCTTTGGAAGACTAATAGTTTTCCTAATATGGAAAACATTATATTCTACTGTATAGGCTGTATAGGTACATAGGAGCCGTTACAGGAGCCCTGAGCCTTAAACTCAATAAGCAGGACATGGTCGGATACTAGGCTATGCGTACTATGCTGTTTCCGTCTTGATAAAGTTTGTTTAGACAGCAGAACTAGGCTCCCATAGTTGCATGGAGCGCGACACAGACTTCTCTTGACCCTAAAACATTCCCCTTTACCCTAAACCCAAAGCCATACAAGACTTATCTGATTATATAATGGCATGGTGTTTGAGCGCTAGAGTCCTCTAGAAGTGGAAGACACAGCCGCCTACGGTGGTAAGCTTCCCGTCCCGCCAGGTTCAAATGCTGGAATGGTGAGTTGTTACTACCACAGACCAGTCTTTGAGTCGTCAAGCTCTGCTGTTTGGGCACTTTAGCCTATAAACCCTAAAGCCTACAGCATACAACCCTGAAGCCCTACAACCCTAAACCCCTAAATCCTAAAACTGCCTCAATGAACCCTGAGCCCTGCTGCGGCATGGGGGGTTTTGCTTGATGGTAAGCTCCGAAAGGGCCGTAGCCATCACTTAGCCTAGGCCCTGGGGCTTTTGGAAGTGTGGATTCGGGATTTGGGGTTTAGGGTTTAGGTAACAGAGTTGTGGGTTCGGGGTTTAGGATTTCAGGTTTAGGGTTTTAGGGCTTTGCACTTGGGATTCGTTTAAAGTTGCAAGACTCAAACCATTTCTGTGTTGAGCAGCGGCAGCTCACCCACCCGGGGTTTACGGCTATGGAGTTGGCATCTGAAAACCTTCCTGATACCCTAAGGTCCTATGCCCAAGACATACGTGGCTCTAAAAACCATTGCCAAACCCTCATCTAAAATGGTATACCGCTACTAAATTTACCCAGAACCCCAAACCCCAAAACCCTAAACCCGGACCAATTTAAACCCCCAAAACCCTAAACCGTTAACCCCCAAACCCTACACCCGAACCACTCTCAACCCCAAAAACTCTGAACCCAAAACCCCAAATCCCTAAACCCGAACCAATCTAAACCCCAAGAACCCTAAACCCCAAACCCCAAAACCCTAAACCCGAAACAGTTTGAACCCCCAAAACCCAAAACCCTAAACCCCAAAACCCAAAACCCCAAAACCCTAAACCCGAAACCCCTAAATTCAGGGCCCGAAACCCTGAACCCGAAACCTCAAACCCTAAACCCTTATAAATTATAAAACCAAAACCCTAAAACCCTAAACCCAAAACCCCAACACCCCCAAACCCTGATATCATCCCAGGCTCGGTGTACTGCACGGAGCCCTTGTCACCCAGCAGTGCCGAGAGGAACCTAGGCCAATCTTTGTAGACTCTTAAGGCGGTTTAGGTTTTGTTTTTGCTGTTTTTAGGGCTTAGGGTTTAGGGTTTAGGGTTTAGGGTTTTTGTTGTTTTATGGGCCCGTTTCCAACTGCAGAACAGCTAGTTGATCGTTGGCGTCGTTGGGGGGGCTTCAGAGTTGCAACCCAGCAGTCTCAGATTGCTCCATACTCTAAGGGTTACTATGCAAGTTACTACACGGCCTACGATAAGGGCTACTACGGAGAAAGAGGTGCTTCAGCCCCTGCCTTGGGGCGCCGCTGTCGTGACGATCAGATGCTGAGACGCTCGCCAATAGCGATGTATGGCAACTTTGCCGTGGCGTTGATCTTCACAGCGCCTGGCGTCAACACTGTGCAGCCTTCTGCCTGTCGCGCTTGCATGTCTTGGCTGACGATCTCCTTGATCCTTTGTCTTTTGTCCAGGTCATTGCGCATCTCTCCCAAACCGCAGCGCTCCATGCTCACATGTGCGAGCACCACGCTGAGCGGGTTTAGGGTTTAAACCCCTAAACCCTAAACAAGGGTAAGAATGACATGTTTGAGTGCTTCAGGCTGAAGCTCAACATGCAGGCTGCAGCAGTTGGGGTTTAGGGTTTAGGGGTGGGATGGTTTAGGTTTAGGGCGTTCAGGGTTTAGGGTTTAGGGGTGGGATGGTTTAGGGTTTAGGGTTTACGGGTGGAGTGGTTTAAGGACCATTTCTCTGGACCCCTTTTTGTCAAAGCCCAGCACTGAGTATTTCCGTACCGATTCTTATTAAACTATCGTGGACTTCAGTAGCCTTAAACTCCTAAACCCCACCTACTTGGAGGCCCAGGGGACTTAGTAAGTAGGTTATAAGTAGAGTTATATGTGCCCTAACTGGAGTTACCCCAATTGTAACCCTACTTATAACCGACTTACTAAGTCCCCTGGGCCTCCAAGTAAGCCCTAGAACTCCCAAACCCTAAACTCACAAACCGCTAAGCGCTGAAACTCGCAAAGTCCACTGTAAACCCTAAACCCTAAACCCCAAACTCCAAGCTCCTTAAGCGCCAATGCCCTAACTTCCTAAACCCGAACCCTAAACCCCTGGAGCCCTGAATTCCGGAACTCCAAACTCCTAAACCCAGAAAAAGTCCTGAAAGCCACATTCCTAATCGTTAAGGTTTGAGGTTTAGGGTTTATAGGGTCTAGGCCACAAGGCTCCCAAACTCTAAACCCTCCTAAACGAAGCATCGCCAGTCCCAGAAGCTTGCCGATCTGGTTCTGGTTCAGGCCCGCCTTCTCGAGCACCTCACGCGCCTGGCAGCATCCGTACATAGTATTTAGTATATACCCTAACCCTAAACAACCTACCTTTTTAGGGTTCCTTAATATGAT